TCGCTGTAAGCCCCAAAACCCCAAAACCCCTAGGAGTGAAATTTTAATTATTATTGGCAATTTAGTTAATCCATATTAAATGAGGATATTTGTAATATATTTATATTACAAAACTTCGCAATTTATTTTGCCAAATGGGAGCTAACACTTGCAAATGTCTTGACTAAAAATCAAATAACGATGTGACTCCAATACTTAAATACTCTAAGAGAACATCTAAAACTAGAAGGGATAAAGGTATACTATTCAATTCCAATAATTATATAGAGATATTTAACTAAATGGAGCATCAAGGAAGTATGAGCAGTAAATCTAATAAAAAAAATCGTACTCAAACAACCGATATAAGCATTGACACTAATAACGCATCTTAATTGGATGTCTAATACAGTTCTGATGATCACAGCATCAGGCTTGGAAAGCAAATGTCATCAATACCCGAAGAAATCGGTAAGTATTAATATTAAATGATATAAATATGTAGAAGAATCTGATCATATACAGTTTAGAACAGAGGAAAATAGACATCAGTAAAAATTTACTGGTAAATCAAGCCAGATGAGAGGATCAGAGGGTCAAGCTAGCAATTAGGATAGTTTGTATCCTCATGTGGATGATAGAAATATGAATGATTTAGGGACAGAAAATGACTCAGTTGAGATTGAAAGAGTTTAAGAGGATAGAATGTCTGGTTCAATGGTTTTGTCAGAGACATCAATGTACAGAGTCGCTGATGATTTGAATACCACATTTCAATCTGAAGTTTACAGAGTAGAGATCGGTAATAGAGAATCTATTGTCAGTGGAGGCTCAAATTTAACCCAAACTTAAATGCTTAGAGTCAGAGGTGGTACAACTATGAATGATCAATCAACGACAAGTTTTTAACAAATAGATGAGAGCTCACTCTAAATTTTGAGAGATGTTCCTAATGAGTACGATGAGGATGAAGATGAAAGTGATTAGTTTGGAGCTGCTATCTTTGAAAAAAGGTAGAATCTTTAACAAAGACTGACTCATTAAGTAGAAAAATCTAATGGTATAAATTATCTATCTATTGGGAAGACCAGCAATAATGATTCAGTTTCTCGTATTTCTGGATTCCAACCAATTGAAAGAGAAATAAGTAATTCCATGACCTCTAATATAGATTTCAACAATGTCTAGATTGTATATTAGGGAAGGCGAGATACAGACTAATCTGATCAAGAAAGAGGTTCATTTTAGTATGGAATCGCAGATAGGAATAAAGATCTTTCAGAATTTTAGTAATCAATTATTCAAAGTGAAAACAGCGACTATTAAATACAACCACGAGTGGTAAATCATAAACGTAATTTAGACATCACAATGCAAGATCAAGACGACACTTCTTTCGTTTAAGGCTAAAGGGATGACAGAAATGGAAGTAACATGATTGATTTAAATGCTTTCCAAAACGAGGATGATCAAGATGATATGTCTGATTAAGATTCCTTCATTGCTTAAAAAAGGAAAGCAATCATGATCAACCAAGTTGATTGAAAAATAAAATATAGCTTTTCGTAAGTCTGCCTACAAAGGCGCAATTTATCAATCTAGATTTAATTTAAATTATAAAACCATAAGTTTGTTTATTTGCATTATATAATTTTTATTCATTAGTATAAATGTGATACCTTAGTTCTGGGGTTTTGGGGTTTTGGGGTTTTGGGG